AACAGTCTCACTATTGGATCAGGCTGATCTTGGTGTGTACCAAACTTCTTAAGTATGACGTTCTCTTTATGCACCTATTGGGTGTGTGTTGCTGTGTACATGGAGCAAAGTTTCTCCTGTATCTCTAGGAATCTCCTTATACCCAGGTAGTTGAGTAGCAGTTGTGTTTTGGTGACCTATGCACCACCAAAGAAGCCTGTAGAGCTGCAAAAAGATGGGTTCCTACATGTTTCTCTTCAAGCCTGGCAGCAGACTGACTTGCTCGCTAGACACTTCAAAAACATACATGTTGAGTCAAGTCCATGAGCATGAGTCCATTTTTCTTTTAATAGCTTTCCTTGGTTTAATGCATCTGGTGCCGTGATGTGACAGTGCCCCCAGTTGTTTGGCACTTTGCTTTCCAGGGGCGCTTGTGGTTGAGTAAAACTAAGAATTAAATTTTCTCCTTAAAAAGTAATTAATTTTTAAAGTAAAATAATTATAGAAAATAAAAGTTAATTAATTTTTCTCTCACTGAAGTGAAGGAAAAGATTTTTGGAGTCAAGAAGCCTACAGCCACAAGCTCAAGAAAACTTCAGAACTTATGTTAATGTTTTCTTGTTTAAGCCACTTGAGACCTTGCTGGAGTTATTAGTAGCAGCAAAATAACGTAGCTGATGATACACACCCGGATGGGGTCAGATTTAGAACTATTCTTTTGCCATCTTTATAAATAGAATCAGAGAACCCCAGACTGGTTTGTGTTGGAAGGGTCCTTAATGTTCATCTCGTTCCAACACCCTTCCATGGGCAGGGACACCTTCTACTAGACCAGGTTACTCCAAGTACCAGTGGTCCTGGCCTTGAACACTACCAGGGATGGGGCATATAATAATATATAATAGCAACAATTCAAATAATAATAATAGTAATAATTCAAATAATAATAATAATTATTATTAGAGACATTAGCCCAGAAACATAGAGATCTAGCAAGCCCATTTTAGAATCAAAGAATAGTTAGGGTTGGAAAGGACCTTAAGGTCATCCAGTTCCAATCCCCCTGCCAACACCTCACACTAAACCATGCCACCTGAGGCTTCATCCAATTTGTTCCATTTTGTAGGGGCTTTAATTCTTGTGCTAGCTCAAAGGCCACAGAATATATAAAAGCACATCCTATGAATCATACCATTCTATGATTCTGTGATACAGTGTTAACTGCTTGGTTAGTGCCAAGAGTCTGGGAGCATGGCTTGTCTGTATCTTTCTTGGTGGTTTATCACTGAACCAATCTTACGGCCCTGTTTGAATTTCAGAGGTTCCCTTGACTGTCAGTGAGTTATACTGATGGTATGTCTGTTTATTTTGAACTAATACATAATACACAACATGTTTTCTCACTGTCCTTCTCCAGTGATACAACTTTTTGTCATAGTTGCATTTCATCCAACCATCATCCATTCAATTCTCAAAGATGATGACTCTGGAAGACTGTTTTGATCCTCTTGTGTTACAAACATCTATGACTTTGCCATCAGTACATTCCCTTACAAGTCAACCCATGGTATTAATGTAAAGGTTTGAACTTTAAGGTGGCTGTAGAAGTACCTTACCATTACATTCGCATCTCTGTGATCTCTGCTTGCCCAGCCTTGGTCCCTTTCTCTTTTAGGGCAGTTCACTGCTGCATGTGCTTTCTGCAATACTGCCTGTTTTCCTGGGTGCCATTCAATTGGAAGATCTGGGAAAACGTTGATAGATGTGACCTGATCATATTCGTTTCATTTACAAAACAGCCTGTGTTGTGCGGTGCTGCTTTGAGGTGGTCTTTTTAAGGTTGGATCTGCCCAATTTCCATTGGAATATCCACACTGTATTTTAAACTTTTTTTTTTTGTTGTTTAGCTCTACATCCTTATTCCTCCATAGTTTATTCTACTAAAGGTCTTGCACACTGTGGGAAGATAAGTGGCTCCAGAGTTCATACTGTGCTTGTTGTTCAGCACTTAAGATTATTACCAGCTCAGTGCTGCTGTTAACTGAAATACTCACTTCAGGGTTTGGGTTTTTTGTCTAATATCGCCTAATTTTAGCTTATCCTGTCCTCGCTGCAGTCATCCTGTATCTTATCTCATTCTTTGCTTTCCTCTCTCCCAAGAAAATGGTTTTTAGCTCAGGCAATCCTTTATAAGGCTTTAAAGCCTGATTTAGTTCAGCCTAGTATGTGGCTTCACACTATTTGATATCTAGGGCATAATTGTCTCTTCTGATCAGTCTTTTTTCCAGACTCTTGTAGATTGCTTATTTCTAACTTTTTTCTGCTTTATCTAGTTAGAGGTAAGGATCTTCTGCCTTTCTTCACCTTGCTTATGGTGCTGTCTCCGTAAGTATTATGATGCTTTTTCTTAGGTTGACACCTTTCTTTGGGAGAAGTACTAAGCTTCTCTGCCTTCCACTCCCTCAGCAGCTTGCATCTCAGGAAATCACTTAGTTTATCAATTTTTTGTCATTCTGAACACAAATTCCAGACTTGCTGTTGTTACTTCCCATTTAGTTTTTATGGAAACAGCTGGTGATTTCAGGTTCATTTTTTACAGCTTGTTCTTTGCTGCCATTTGCTTCGCTTCTTACCAGCAACATCTCTGTGTTTCAAGACTCTCTGGTCTTTTTGTCCAAGCATTTGACTTGATATGAAAGAATATTCCAGCAGTTTCTGACTGTGCCTACTGTGAGGGCTGGATCCTTTCTACTACCCAGAAGAGTATTTAGTGGTATTTTCTTTCTTTTTGCTGTTCTGTTCTCTGCTTGCCCTTTATTTCCAACTGTATGCTTGTTCATGATCATCCTTATGCTCAACAAAAGATAGCAGCATGTCATAATTGTATAGGTGATGCTAATGCCTAAAGAAAGGAGCACACTTTGGTTGTTGGAAGGCTTTTTTGGACTGGGGGAGATTTGGTTTTGAGTGAGATATGTGGACCTCTGAACCTCAGCTCTGGGTAGGGGTGCTGAATACTTCTGAGGGGAGAGTATCAGTTGCAAACTGAGGTTGTCTCCATTGGCTAGCAAGGTAATGCTTGCACTTCACCGAACAAATGATGCAATGTGAAGCTCTTCAATGGTGATTTCAAAATGCCAAACTTGGTGCTCCAGTGCTCAAACCACAAGCCTCATCAATGACCACAGTCCTTTCTGGTCATTGAAAGTGAGCTCGTCAGGGCGCAGCTAGACCTGTGCTTGGTGTTGGCAAGCAAGCACCCTCCCTGCACTTCCAGCTGAGTGCTCTGTCTCCCTCCTACACTCAGGATGCCATGGCTCAGCCCCAGAACCTCACTCTCCTTGCAACTGTGCAGGAGAGGGCACAGTGCTTCCAATGGGTTCCTTCACCAAGGCGAGATCTGTCTCAGGCAAGAGAGTCTGTCAGGATGGGCCCTGAACTGAGCCCTAAAAGAATCCCAGAATCCCAGACTGGTTTGGGTTGAAGGGACCTTAAAGTTCATCCAGTTCCAATCTGCACCACGGGCAGGGACCCCTTCCACCAGAGCAGCTTGCTCCAAGCCCCTGTGTCCAACCTGCCCTTGAACACTGCCAGGGATGGGGCAGCCACAGCTTCTCTGGGCACCCTGTGCCAGCGCCTCAGCACCCTCACAGGGAAGAGCTTCTGCCTAAGAGCTCATCTCAAGTCTCCCCTCTGGCAGGTTCAAGCCATTCCCCTTGGCCTGTCCCTACATCCCTTGTCCCAAGCCCCTCTCCAGGTTTCCTGCAGCCCCTTTAGGCACTGGAGCTGCTCTCAGGTCTCCCCTTCAGGAGCCTTCTCTTCTCCAGGCTGCCCCAGCCCAGCTCTCTCAGCCTGGCTCCAGAGCAGAGCTGCTCCAGCCCTCGCAGCATCTCCATGGCCTCCTCTGGACTTGCTCAAACAAGTATGAAGGAAATAATCTTCAACCTTCCTGTGTGACTTTTAAGTGTCCGGAGCTCTCATGTTAAATACACACCAGTAGTTTTAAGTACAATTCGGTGTTAACGGCCTAGTTCCTGCCCTGGTTTGGGCCAGGGCCAGGGTTAGGATAACTCACTGGGACGAGAGAGCTCTTCGTGCTGGTGAGAGCCCGTGCGCTGGGCCAGGTTCCAGCGCTCGGGAGGCTCCGCGCGAGAGCGGGGCCACCGCCGGTACAACACCCCCCCCTGCGGGCTGCTCCTGGCCAGGGCTGAGAGGGAAAGGGAGCTGGGACGGGAGCTGGGACGCTGGCGGCAGCAGCGCTGGGTGTAACGGGAAAGCGGTGTGCTGGGAAACGTGAATTACTCGTGCCCGGCACCTCTGGCATTTCTGTTGCGAGCTGAGGTGCTAACATCCCCCAGTGGTGCTGGTGGTTACACGGATGCTTTAGCCGGGTATTCATCCACTTCCTTCCAGTGTGCAAATCCGAGCTCAGGTGGTTTATCGGTATTGATTCATCTACTTTGTGCTTCTTTTTCTCTTACGAGGGGCACGCTGTTTGGGTGAAGAACTTGCCGGTGCAATAAGCAATTATTAGGGGTTTGTTCAAGCTTGTGCCTTCACCTGTGTATAAAGCCTCGGTGCGCAGCGGTGCGCGATGAGGTATTTAGCAGTTAACTCGAAAGTAAAGTGAATAATCATGACAATGAGTATTTTCAGCTGCAACCGCCTCCCGCTGTTCCCAACCGCCGCTCGCACAAAAGACCCTCGGAGCCCACCGTTTCCCACCGCCGGGTTCTAGCAGAGGGTGGCTTCTCTTTCCTTCCCGTTTCTATTCCTATCCTCATCCCCGGGCTCAGCCGCACTCTCCATCCTCCGGTTAACGCCGTTCTCCTCGTTCACTCCCCATTCCCGCTGGAAGCAGGGCAGGAGCTGGGAGCCGGCACTGCCTGCCACGGCGCTGTGCTCCAGCTGCCGCCGGTGGGAGACTCCGGTGTGCGCAGCTGGGCTTGATTAGGAATTAACACACACACACACACGCACACACCCCAGCCCCTGCAGAAGCCTTTTAACCCGCGGGAGGGTTGGGTCGCGCCCCTCACCGTAGTGGGGCGGCGGGGCCGGCTTAGCGCGGGCGCGGCCAGTTCTGGGCTTGGTGAGGGGGGGCTCGCTGCCTCCCGCCTCCCGCCCGCTCCCTGCGCCGCCCGCCGCCACTTCGGCGGCTCCTCCGAGCAGCGCCGCGGCTCCGCGCCGCCGATGCGGGCGATGTTCGCGGGCAGGCAGAGGCAGCGCAGCAGCGTGGGGGGCAGCTGAACTCCGGGGAAGGATGACCAGCGCCGCTGCGATCCTCTTCCTCCTGCAGCTCTTGCCCAAGGCGCACGGACAGGTTTTCGCAGGTGAGTGCCGCCGCGCTGACTGACCGGCTCCCCGGGTGCATCCCCCGCGGCGGGGCGTGCGGCCCCGGGGACGGCAGCGGTCCCTTTCCCCGGGCTTGCGGGGAGCCCCGGGGCAGGCAGGGCGGCACGAGAACGGCTCGGGAAGGCGGCGGGGGAAGGACCGGTCGCCCTGGGAGTCGGTCCCCGGAGCCCGGGGGTTTCTGTTGCTGACCCTACAGGGCTGCGGGCAGCGGCGGGTGGGGGGCCCGGTCCGCGGGATATTGATGCGATTGGAGGTGGAAGCAGCGCCTTTGTGCTTGGATTGACCACCGCTGAGCCCTCTCTGTGGTGAAGAGGCTTTCCGAGGCAGTCAGCTCCCGGGGATGGGCAGCTCGGAGGAGCCGCTGCCTCTCTTCCTCCAGCCAGGCGAAGGGGCTCGGGGCTGTTTTCACAAGTTTAGCGGCAGCTTTTTCTCCCCTTGTATCTCGCAGCTCAATAACTTTCTCGGTGGGCTCAGCTACTTGGACCGGCCCCTTCCTAGTTGGCACTTTCCCTGTCACTCTGCTGAGGAATACTCTTCTCTCCTGGCATGTGGACAGTAATAGTAGCCAGCTATTTTCACTCTCCTGCGAGTTTCTTTAGGCATAGGTTGAATTACTTGAAGATAACAGGTGCTTATAGAGCTCTTTTTCTCCTTTTGTGCTATTTTGTACCAAAGATATGCGTTGTCTTGTTTTTCACTTGGCTTTTGTAATACGCCATTAATTTTCTCACTGCAGCTTTTTCTTTACGTGAAAAAAATTAGTTGTAACTTTCTTCTCTCCTGACTTCATGTATTAAGCTTTTCAAAGTTATTTTTTTCTTTTTTTTTTCCATTTTTTATTTAAATCATTTTTTTTCCACCTATATCTATGACAAGTAAAAATTCCCTGTCCAGCATTGCCAGGAATAAATCTCAGTGCTTGTGGCTCGGGCACGTTGGAGGTTGGAAACTAAGTTTAGATGGTCTCAAACAGCAAAAGATTTTTCTTAATTAAGACTGAGACAGCTCAAATGACTTCGTCTTGCTTCTTTAAGACAGAAATAGTGCCGAGGGTCGTAGATGCAGGGCAGCCGGAGCTCGTGTAACCCCTATTGGGTCCAGCCTGGCTCTAAAGCCAACGGGCGTGCGAAGGGCTCCGGGAGGCTCAGCTCAGTGAAGTAGCTGCTGTCATCAATCCTGCCCGGTGCGACACCCCCTTGGTATCTTGTCTACATTGCTAGGCAACTGCACAGATCCCCAGATTTATTAGAAAGGCTGGGAAATCTAACCTAGTTCGATAGCTGCTTCGTTGAGTAAGCAATATGCGGAGCTATGTTTTTTCTCTCTTCCAGATGTATGTTCATGTTCTTGACATTTGCCATACCAGTTGATATTAGATATTTGCCTTTTGGTGACTCATTTACCCAGATGCTTAGAAAGAAGAGTGTCCTGTGAAAATATCAAACTTTAAGGGAGTAAACCCCACTTTCCATCGTTACTGCCCTCAGATGCAGTATGAGCCGTTTGAGCTAAACACATGCACATTGAAGGATTGGCCAGATGTTGTCATTATTTATATATAGCCATGAAATATTCTGTTTGAATCATCTATTCAGTGGGAATAGTGACCGCGAGGTTTCCTAGTTCTTACTGCCTCCTACCCCCTATTTGAGTCCACTGCTTACCATTCAGAGAGGAGCTCATTTGAAAAAATGTTTTCTGAGCTGCTTTTATTGGCTATAAAAGAAAGTTTGCTCCTCTTAGACTGTATTGAGTGGCTTGAAGTGTCGTGGTCTGGTCTCTGTCCATAGAGCTGATATTTTTATGGTAAAAAGCAAAGTTTTTCAGATGCGCGCTGTCTGTAACATTTCACTGAAGTTTGGAGACTCGCTACGGCCACCTGTGCCTTTTCGCATCTTCCATGGGGTGGTGCTGTCTCCATAACTATTAGGATGCAAATAGCTCCCGTCCGATTCTTTTTCAAAGCTTAACGCGTTTATTCAGCAGCCTTTTGTTAAACATCCCAAAAAATCGCTGTGCGAGAAGTTGGCTGAGTTTTCGTATTTATTTTCTTACATGGTAGTGAGCTAAGAAGTAGGAAAGACACAAGTCAAGGCAACGTGGTATTCTATTCTGACCCAGCTTGCACAGCTGATGCTGATGCTTCTTCATATTATCCACGGCATATAAAATTAGGAATACTACACAGTGACAGCAGAACGCCGATGGCTTTGTTCAGGAATACCTGGTTTCACACTGAGGGAGCTGGTTAAAGGTTATTTCCTTGTGATTTCTGTACTGCTCGATTTCCAACTCTCCTCCCCAGCAATTACTTTCCGTTGCCTGCAGTCGCTGTATTTATTTGTAACTGGAGATATGCTTTTGAGGTTCTACACTTTTTGTTAGCTTTAGGGTCAGCTACTAATCTAATTCCTCCACTATCCCATAGAAGAGACAGAAATAACACCAGTTAGCTCTAGCAATTGCCAGTTCTATCAAGGTTTCACAAACTAAGGAACTTTGCTTATGGGGAAGTTTTTTCCTTAAAGCACATGTGCATTTTTTCTCCCCCCCTCCAGATCTGTGGGATATTCTTGCAGTTGCTGTCTGGTTTGTGTGTGTTTTTAGCACAACAGAGTGGAGAATAGAGAGATTAAAGTCATGCGCAGCTGTGAGAAAGCATTCGGGGGGAAAGTAGGACAGTGGGTTTACATTGGGTCTGTTCACCTGAACACTAGCTTACTTTGACACTTGGTTTTCTTCTGATACCAGTGTTTGCTTTATTTCCCCCTTGTATTGCTCCTAGTTTTACTGTGGATGCTCCTGGGTGTTTAGATAGACATGTAGCTGGCTGCTTTCAAGTAGAGCTGCCACATCTTAAAGTTGCGGCAAACCACTAGCTTGTTACACACGGTTTGTCTAGGGAAGAAAGAAGATGAAAGGGGAGCAGGCGGGGAGGGAATTTTTGGGGGAAGGTGAATTAATTTCCTTGGAGTTCATTTACTCGCAGATTTTGCCGTCAGTAAATTGGCAATGAAAAACGGGATCTCCCTCAGCAAGCTACTCTGTGTGGCAACTGTTAACAATGCAGCCATTTAACTCAATAATCACTTTTCACTCCCTCTGGGGAGCTGTTAGCGCTACAATCCCACTTTATTTTTCACTCCTGGCTGCTTGATTTGTTTTCTAGCACATAAACAATTAATATTAAAAAGGTGATATTGTGAAAGTGCCTGTTTCCACGGTGGCAAGGAAAGGTCACTGTGTGTATAAAGGCATTTGTAACTCTTTGAGTGATATTCTCTTCTCGCTGCATTTCAGAGCCCTGTTTTTTACCATCCACCCTTCTGAAAGTCTCTCACCACAGCTTTCCCTGTTTAATTGTCCTATTTTAGTCTGTTACGCCCTCTGTGCAGGCCCATATGCTCTGGCTTTCATTTATATTATGGGAATGATTTGGGACACTTATTGCAGAATATGATAGTATTTCTTTTTAGAAGGCACCATCATCTGTTACCATGGAAACCCAAATAGTGGCAAAGATGTAGGTCTGAGGCTTTGAACCTCAAAAGATATGGACATGGGTTGGTTCTTATAGGAACAATTACTTTTGTACATAAAATCCAGTTAAGTGGGGAGCAGAAAGGGAAATAAATCGATCTGTTGAGCACTGTGCTGACAATCCTCCTTTTGAATAACATTCAGCATAGAAGGATCAGTGTCTCTGATTCTCTCTCTGTATGTGTATGGCTTTTTTTAAAGCTCGTTATTTATCATAATAGTTGTTTTATGCCTGTGGTAATTTTCATTATAATTTTATAAATGAGGTAAAAGTGTATTGGCAGGTTTTATTCTTTGCTTGAATGGAAAGTGCTGCATGCAGAATGCAGAGGTGTGCAACGTTAGCACTGGAGCTTAAATATTTTGGCACTGAGTAAATTTGTGACTGATTTAATATAGCCCTAATTAAAAAAAAAAAAGAAAAAGGCAGAAGTCATCCAAAACCCACCTGCCAATATCTGCTTGAGGTATATATGGGTTTGCTCACTGATCTGAGCAATAAGAGTGATGATACTTATCTGGTTTGCCATAGAAATACTGAAGCCTAGTTAACATTCATAAAAACTCTTATGATGTTTGGGTGATGAGCAGCAGGAGTGTGTGTGAGTATTGCTATATAAAGCCTATGTCCTTTAGAGACTTCTTAATTTTGTATGGAAACTGCTTCAGTCTATTTCCTCAGTGTCTGGTAACGCATAGATAAAACATGTAATGAAGCTTCTAAAACGTGCTTGGAGGTATGCTCATAGATGAGGCTTTTCTGGCAGATATTCTAAACAGCAGCAGCGTCTAGAGGTCACCTGCTGTTGTAAACTGAGCCAAGCTGTAGCCCAGATTTCCTGCTGCAGTGCAAGAAACCTGTGTTTCCCATTGCCCCAGTAGCACAAATCATGGCTTGTGAGTTGACATTTATTGACTCTGTGGTGTCATTCTTAGAAAAGAATATGCTGGACTTCTTATGATATTTCTTGAACTTTTCATGGAGTGGTATTGGCTTACTTAAGCCAAAGTCACTTTTTTTTACTGGTACCACTCATGTTTCCTAGTTCTCTAAGGAAACATAAGGGCACGTAGGGATAGGACAAGGGGAATGGCTTTAATCTGCCGGGGGGGGGGGGGGCGCTGGCGATTGAGATGAGCTTTTAAGCAGAAGCTCTTCCCTGTGAGGGTGCTGAGGTGCTGGCACAGGGTGCCCAGAGAAGCTGTGGCTGCCCCATCCCTGGCAGTGTTCAAGGGCAGGTTGGACACAGGGGCTTGGAGCAAGCTGCTCTAGTGGAAGGGGTCCGTGCCCGTGGCAGGGGTTGGAACTGGATGAGCTTTAAGATCTCTTCCAACACAAACCAGGCTGGGATTTTTAGGTTTCTAATTTTCCTTCTGATGGTGTTCTCCTGCTGTGCTGGTTAGCACTACCTGGGTATTTCATTTGGATGACATTCTC